TACATGAGACAGGATACGGATTGTAAAGTTGTACTCTTTCGGCGCCAAAATGGCGTTTATTGTCATTTGAAATCTGAGACTTTGTTTCATATTAAAAGTACCAAAGCACAATGCTTATTGCAATATATTGGATGGGACGTTCCGTCCGCTTCAACGTTCCGTCCATTAACTGAAAACAGGCTAGAATAATCGATTCTTGGGATTTAAGAATCGATATCGTTCCGTAAAAATGAGAATCAATTAATATCGAGATATCGATATTTTTTTTACCCAGCCCTAGGACGTAACCCCTAAAGCACCTGTTGCCACCAGCGATTGTTTTATAGGACTAATTTTGATGTGCGAATAGAAAGTTGTTAGTAAAAGTGTTTTTATGCTTCTTTATGATGGTATTCAACTTGATTGAACTTTTAAGTGTAAGGCCTCTCATGCGAGTCCAGTCTTGTAAGTTAAATCTTTTCTTTTGCTCAAACAATCTGTAATTTGTTGGTTAAAAAAGGCAAATTCTTATGAATATGTTTCTATCAACAGGAAGGCTTTGGATTCACTGCAGAATAAGCCAGAGTGTAAGTTGAGGACCATACAGAAGGAGTGATTGGTCTAATTCTCATATTCAGGCAAGACTTGTCATAACACTTACATATTGTTGTTTTGTTGGTTTTGGTTGCTTCTGTTGTCCTCATTTGTAAGTCACTTTGGATAAAAGCGTCTGCTAAATGACTAATTGTAAAATGTAAATGTAAGCATAAATCTATGCATAGATTTGCATGATATAACATTATTGTTGTTATTTTTACCTTATTCTTCACTGCATAATATAAAATTTTGGTTAAATGTTTTAGATCATTGTTTTAATATCACAAATCATGTCTGTTCATTTACAGAGTGATCTAACTCTTACAGTATGACAAGCCAATACTGTGAACACTTGAGGTGTGGGGAGGAAGACAGACTGATGGTTTTCATGTTGGATGCAGTTTTGGCTATATCAATAAGTAATCAGTATAATCAAAAAAAAAATGTCTGTGTTTTATACCTCCTGGGGTCGGAACTGTGCACAGCAGTTCATGTTGGTAATGGAGATAGAATTGCAGAATTGAATTACAGAACAGCAGACACTTGAAGTAGCATTCAGTCATACTTTATTTTTTTATATTTTCAGTAGACAAAATATTACCATTCTATACCAGTGGAGGTATGCATGTTTTGTTGATTAGTGTCGGTCATAACACTTTTTTACTGAATGCACCTTTAAAAACTTGTGTCCAGGCTTTAGTAGATCATGTGAATGTGACTGATTCACTTTTATTTATGCTGCAAAAATAAACTGATTAATTTTGTCTTAGTTGTGTGATTTGTGATAAAGGTATAGACCAGAGGTTCTCAAATCTGGCGCTCGAGGTCCATGTTTCTGCAGAGTTCAGTTCCAACCTGGATCAAACCCACTGCCTGTAACTAGTAATCCTGAAGACTCTGATTAGCTTGTTCAGGTGTGTTTGATTAGGGTTAGAGCTAAACTCTGCAGGAAAGTGGGAAACAAAATGAGTGTAGTTAATGTGGTTATATTAATCAAAAACAAATTAGCAATGTTTACATAATCATAGAGAGTAATATATTCATAAAGCTAAGTAAATGGAAATTACTTTTTCTCTAACAAAAAATAGATAATAAAATCTACTTATTTACTTCAGTAAATGGTAAGATTTACTTAATATTTTGATAAATGCAAGGCATTATTAGAAAATAATAAATAAACTTTACTTAATTACTTTAAATAAACACAACTTCTAAATTAAATATATTTAAGTAATATTTACTTAGAGTGCAATTAGATTTAATTTCTTCATGAATAATAAGTTCAGTAGTAAGTATATTTTGCTTGATAATAACAAGTTGAACTTGATATTCGAGCAGTAAAATTTATTTAAAATGTGTTAGGGTTAGGATTTATTTTTTTTCCAAGTTATTTTTTTTTTCAGTGATATATGGTCCATTAATAGGTCAGTGAAGTCACTGGTTTATCTAGTCATGTTTATTTGGTTTTGATATTTTTAGCAGATACTTTTCAAAGAAACATCACCGGAGATGAGTTTAGAAATGCACATCTGAAACAGTAATTCTAGCAATAAGACATGCTGTGCTTTAATGTTACAGTCCAGTGACTCTTACACTCTCAGTATGCTAAAACCCTTTCCAACATGTTGCCTCTACATTCCTCCTCAAAGGCACCACGGCTACCCTCAGCAAAATAAAATAAAAATAAAAAACATTAGATTAAAACAACTATTGTCAGACCTCAAATTGGCCACAACAAGCAACAAGGATGCATAATATATTACCATAACATTTGCCTATATTAGAGACTTTTTTATATTTTGGTGGATATTAGAGAGGTGAGACCAAGTCATTGTTTTGCAAGTCACAAGTAAGTCTCGAGTCTTTGCATTCAAGTCCCGAGTCAAGACAGGCAAGTCCATGTCGAGTTGTAAGTCCTCAACTTTAAGCTTCAAGTCCTAAGCAAGTCATTAGTGCTGTTTGCCCAAATTAGTGTCTCTGTAATAATTACTACAGTAATTTTCAAGTAATTAATAGTCTGTAGTAAGTATAATTAAGTATAATAATAATAATAAACATATAATAATTAGTGGTGTTAATCATTGTTTGTGAACAAATCGTAGGCCTAAGTGAATTAATAATTTCTTTCATGTTCACCGTTTCGTTTGAAAATGATTCCGTAATATGAATCAATTGAGTCAAATATTTAATAACTTGCTAATAGCCTACGTAAATCAGATGCTCATTTATCGCCACCTACTGATGTAGGTCTACAAAAATAGACAGTAAGTAAAAATATAACAATAGTTATAATATATAGGCTACAAATCTTAAATAAAAAGAAGAAACCATCAGTGAATGGATTTAATAGATGGAAGGAATGAATAAATGTTTTCTTGTAGCTCTAATTTATTTTATGTTCTTAAAGGCTATTCCTTCAACAAATATTGATAACGACAAATTATTCAAATTTCATGCTGTCACGGAGAGGAGCGCAATATAGTAATATAGTTATAATCATGATGCTGCACTGTCTTTGTTATTCTTCATTCAGAATAAAATGTTAATATTTTAATAATCTTAATAGTGTTGAGTTAAAGGTGACCTATTATGCCCCTTTCTACAATATGTAATATAAGTCTCAAGTGTCCCCAGAATGTGTCTGTGAAGTTTCAGCTCAAAATACCCCACAGATCATTTATTATATAATTGTGAAAATGCCCATTTTGAGAGGAAGCAGAAACAAGCTGTTTTTGTGCATGTATCTTTAAATGCAAATGAGCTGTTGCTCCCCGCCCCTTTTCCAGAAGAGGGCTGTGCCTTTACAGCTTGAAAGTCAGATACTCTGATAAAAAAAACATCTGTTTGGTTTTGATTATCGTGTATATCACGCTGAAATCATGCGTTTTAAAGCCATAATAGTTTAAACTTCTGATATAGTGTTTTCTGAGCGCACACATCCGAAGCACACGCACAGAAAGCTTCTGTCACACGGCATGCGAGTACTAAAGTAAGTTCTCGTTCATGTCTTATTGCACTTAAATTGTCAAATACACAAAAGTTTGGTAAAAACACACGAGTTACAAAAACAGTCTGTTATGTCTGTGAAGGTAAACAGCTGGGAAAGAAATCACTGAAATCTGTGTGGCAGCAGCGTAATATACAGTAAATAAATCAATAAATACACTGCTGTCTCGTCTCCTCTGAGGCTAGGACTCTAAATAGTGTTCTGTGCTCGTCTGTGCAGCTAACGATAGAACAGTTTGCATGCTTTGCTCGAACTTTTGCCATGGTGCTAGAACTGGTACACCGTTGTCACTTGTCGTTGTCGCAGAATGGCGGCGCCGTGAGTGGAAACGTGCCGATAAAGGGGCAGTGATATTATAATGAGATCCCTCTGCCACATCACAAAGGGAGCGAAATCTGACACGTTTTTTCAGACGCTTGCAGAAAAAGGCTTAACAAAACAAAGTTACTGGGTTAATCTTTTTCACATTTCCTGGGTTGGTAGATGCACCCGGGACCTGATTCTAGCACTTAAATGCGGAAAAAGTCAGATTTTCAAGATATGTCACCTTTAATATAGGGTGACCATATTTTAGTTTTCCAAAAAGGACAGTGGGTGGGGTGTGGTTGGTTGGTGGTTAAAGTAGAGCATAGCACAATGACCATAGCCCAAATATCAAAACTCAAAATATGTAATTTCCATACCTAATACAAATACATATTTTACAGTCACTGTTATGCATATTAATCATAAACACAGCTAAAAAGCTTCCTACCAGTGGCATATTAACAGGTCAGCCTAGTTAAAATGTCGAGTTTACGAGTTATATGTCGTGGCCACAAATAGACCTAACATGTCCGGCACACCGTTCAAATGATGCATGCAAAATTATTCACGCCAAACCTGTAGATATTCAGATTCTCAAATATATGTAAGTCAATGTATTTTGTGGCTCAAACAAATTTATAATGATCACAGTTGATGGCTTAGTTTAGGGGGTATGTGTGCTACCATGTAGTAGCCTGTCAGATTTACAACATGTGAATTCATCCATTTCTCTGAAAGACATGAAAGTGAGTGGCTCGTAACCAGGAAGAAAAATAGAGTGAACTTTATAGGTAGGCTACATACAATGTGCGTTTGACGTGAAAAAAAAATCTAATTATGTTTGAGAGGTTTATTACTGCCGTTTCCATATACATCAGTGTATATTATTATTATGATCATTACTATTATTATTACTATTATAAATGGTTTATAGTGATGATGTGTATTTTAAATGTCTGAAACATTAAATAGCCTAAAACATTATGTGGTTGAAAACACTGACAAACGCTCACTGGGCAAACTCCTCTCTGGCTCGGCTCCTATCATACCAGTGTGATCATACGCTTCAGTAACCAGCCTATCACAACTCTGTTTTTAGAAGGTAGGCCATAAAGACTTTCCAAGTCACAGGGCTCAAGTTCAAGTCAAGTCTCGAGTCATTGTTGTCAAAGTCTAAGTCAAGTCGCAAGTCCTCAAATATGAGACTCGAGTCCAAGTCAAGTCTCGAGTCATGTTAGCAAATCTGTTAAAGCAAATATACAGATCTCAATAAATTAGAATGTAGTGGAAAAGTTCATTTATTTCAGTAATTCAACTCAAATTGTGAAACTCGTGTATTAAATAAATTCAGTGCACACAGACTGAAGTAGTCACTTGTGGCATTTAAAATTATTGATTTTTTTAACTGTTTATTTAGACAAAATAACAGAATACAAGTTACTTCACCTAAAAAAAGTTTATTTCATTCATTCATTAATCAATTTATTTTTGTAATCATTTACTCACCCTCACATCATTCCAAACTCATGTTTGTTGATCATTGAAACACAAATAAGGATATTTTTTGTTTTCTGTCTCTTTACTGAAAGTCCATTCCACCAAAAATCAGTTCAAAAATTGCATAAATAGATCATAAAACAAATCCAACTTAAACTTGGTTTAATCCAATTCTTCTGAATATGGCACATTGAATATGGTAAACATAAAATTACAGTAACTGTACTTGCTTGACGCTCGACAAAAAATCTTATTTGTCCTTGTGCGTCAAGCAAGCATGTTCCATTTATGAGTCCAAATTGACATGAAGGTGAGTAAACAATCACAGTTTTCATTTTTGACTGAACTATTTTCTTTAATATTGGTTATCAGCCATAACATCAATGTATTTATCAGCTTCCAGATGGAATTGTATTAGTGGTGCATCCCAACCTTCATGCGATGTACAATATAATCCATACTTTTCCATTTGTTTGTGAAGACTGATCATTTTAAAGACTACAACTTTGACTATGGCAAGGTTATATAGACTATTTATTTTGTTGTGAATTTGTCACGTCCGATTCACTGCATTCTCTGTTAAAGTTACTTTGTTTTTGCCTCTCCATTTGCTGACAATAGTTAACATGTTGCGTTCATTACTGAGGAAAATTGACCCAAGAAGACATGTGAACAGACGACTGAAGAGACACAGAGCGAGTCGGAGAGATTGTATTATTGTTTCTATTGAAAACACTCTTATTTCCTTCTTCCACATCTGCACGCATCAGTCTCTAGGGAAGGGATAAAATCTCTCCGCAGATGTCAGAAAGAATTAGCTTGCGTTCAAGCCGAGCAGTAACTCGCTGTCTGTCCCTCCTTCTCTCTGTCCAACCATCAAATGCAATTCTTAAGGCTGTTTGAGAATTGCTTCTCAAATAAGTGTTGACTAAGTGTGTGGTGGGCGGATCCTTTATATAAAGTGCTCTGATTTATGCCGTCGGTTTTGCATTTTAATCCCCTTTTGATTACAGCGGGTAGGAGCATGCTGGGAGAAATATCTGTGCTGGCACAATGTGTTTTAATTACAGTAGCCGCTCTGAGGGAAGACTGTTCTTGGAAAACAAGGCTGTGGGGGTTTATTAGACGGGATTGCTGTGGATTATTATATTAAAAACAATGGACGTGTTAATGGCCTTTGTATTGGTGTGAGAGCCTGATAAGTGTTTTTCTCTGTCTTTAGGGGTCGTCTTGATGGAGATCTCAGACGTCCATCGGAAAGTCAATGTAGAACTGGAGGAGAATGTGAGTGTGTTCTTTTATCAGTGTGTGTGTTTGTTTCCTTGCTGTAAACACATTCTTAAGCTGACCGAAAGCACATTCAAACACACCCAAACATAAGATCGCCATCTGCAATTTAATCGCTTATCAAACATCCCATTTCCCTAAAACTTTATGGACTCTCCCGTTGACGCACAGTCAGTCTTATCAGTGTAAACAACAGGAAAGGGTAGAGGAATACAGCGGACACACCTACTGCATGTTAGATTGTAGTGGGGTTTTTTTTTATCGGAGCAGGTTTGAACATGCCTGTTGATGCACCTGAGCCCAGCGCCGCATGATGATACAGCTGTTCCTGCTAGTGCAGCTGCTGACTGCAACTTGTGAAGACAGGTCGTGTTTAAACAGCTTCAGTCAAATCTGAGATCATTTTCACAAATCTGATAACCCTTGATCATTCCTAAATGCCTGACAAAGAATTAGGGTTGTGATATCAATGCCATTCCCAACATTTGTTTCTTTGGTAGATGATAACTAATGTAATTGCCAGTATTGTGAACCTATACTAGTTTGAGAACAGTGTTCACTAGGGCTGCCCCCTAATAGTCGACTAACCTTTAGTCGATGAGAAGAGGCTTGGTCGATGTCGCTTAGTCGCAGAAAAAAAAATCCACAGGAAGTGGTGAGGTCACGCAGTCCGTGACGGACAGATCATTAATGGCTGGATTTTGTGGTAATACATCCAAACGCTCGCCTGTCATTCATCGACCTCAAATATGGCGTATCATCTGAAATAAGTAGTAGCAACTTTACATGGCCGCTAAATCTAATGTTAAAGGTGCAGTAGGAGATCTTGGAAAATGCTAACTTTAGCCTGATAGCACTGAAAGCGAACGTCCCACCCTCCCTGCAATCGCCGTCCAAAGCCACGCCCCCTGAACACATTTACGCTCCCAGACCAGAATACCAGAGACAGCATTACTACAGTAGGCTACATCAGCGGTTCCCAATTCCAGCCCATGTTCCGAAGTGAAGTAAACTTCAACGGATTACCCCTGCTCAGGGAGTAGGGAGCAATGAACACTGTGTAGGGATCATATCGATCGGAACACAGTTCATACACGTAGCTCACTTCTGACGAGCTGGTTATCTGAATCAGGTGTGTTAACTAAGCGAGACATGCAAAATATGCAGAGCGGGGGTTATCAGAAAACTAATAAGAAATAAGTCACTGGAAATAGCGTGATCACAAAACGAGCATGATAAAAGCAGCCGTTTGTTTGCATGCTTTGTTAAAGATTTAAATCCATAAGCATCGATTTTTTTACAATAATAAGTGATACATTGATCATAATGAATTAATTTATCAGGATTGAAAATTAGTCACACAGAAATAAAGCGGTATGATCATAGCCTACCTACTTATTCAGTATAGTCTGTTTCTGTTTATTTGTAGTCACCGTAGCCTATATACATTACATTTAGATACATTCATTTCTATATTTTTATAAAAGCTCCCGAACAAAAAACATTATTATATTTTTATGACATACGCGGAGCTAAACTCTCGAGACGAGACTTATGACAGATAAAATGTTACTAAATAAATACACGATTGTGATAGAGAATAAGAAGCTGACGTCTGATTTCTTCAAGCGGTCATATTTACCATGTTTACTATGGTAACGTTAATGGCAAGCGTGCATAGTCTTTTTCATCGCTTATAAATATTTCTGCCTTGTATGCTGATCATAATCCACATCGGATCAAGTTATTTCAAACACTCGCTGCTGTCTGAAAGTGAGTTTTGAACTAAAATTATTTTAAAAGTCTTTAATACTGGTGTTATAGCTGTTAACTTTATGAAATGATCCGCGGTGCTGACGCTCTCCAGACGCGGAGAAACGCGACAGTGGAAACGCGGCTACTGGGTTACATCATGTGTCATTCACCGGTGAGAGAACTTTAAAAGTATTACAATACCAGGAAGGAAGATCAGGTTGTTGATGTTTGTCTGCCATTCTCGCTCTGTCTGCACAAACTCGCTCGTCTCTCCCGCATTAACCCTATAACTGCCAGTGCAGCAACATAAACAGCAATTTCACAATGATTATAAAGTCTGTGTGCTAAAAGACTCCCTCTTTTGAGAGACAATATCTTTATTTATCATGCAATTTTTTGATTAACAACTTTGCAGATTGTTTTCATTTAAGCTTAAAATAATGACATAAAAACATTTTGTTTAACACTTATGCAAGCGAATCGTGCCCACAGCTAAAGTTTAGCTGCTAAACTGTAAACACTTAACAAAACAATAATGGTGGATACATTAGCCGAGTGCTAACGTGACTATCTGATGAAACCATACAGTTTGAAAACCAAAAGATGTCTACTGTAATGTCTGAAGAACGACAGACAAAAGACGCTCCATGTCTTAACCTTTAATTATAACGCAAAACAGCTGTATCACATGCACACCAGCCTAACTAACTCGTCTCTCTCTACTGGGTCTTTTAGTCCCTGCATTAACCCTATAACTACATAAACAGCACTTTCACAATAATTATAAAGTCTGTGCGCTACACTACATTATTATTAAACAAAGTAATTAGAACAACGACAGTTGACACATTCTTAGGAAATAGTGGGTTCACAGCGAATTATCAGAACTATTTCAGTAAAATAGTAATATCGTGCTTTACCTGGAAACCTAAAGCTGCACTAGGTATACATCACATATTAGCACAAAAACTTGATATTTTAAGCACTCAATTGAAAATGTACACATAACGTATCAATGGTACTTACAGGTTGTGGTTTGGAGAGCTTGTTAGTCCAAATTAAGAAGATTAGAAGCCAACGAAGATAAAAGCCAAGATTAGAGAAGCAGTCCTTGGTAAAATGACATGCACACAACAAAAGGTTCAAATTGTATTTCTGTGGTATCCTTGAATACAGCGTCTTCTCGACATGATGTAAACACACTAACTAGCAGAAGTGTTTGTGGGCAGGTCAGACTCTGTTCGTATTTCGCGGGCAGGCGGGGATTATGCAAATGTGTTACCCAGTGACAACAGGCAAAGGATTCGAAAATATGATGACTCGTTAAGGCGATTCAGAATCGACTCCCTCTTTTGAGAGACAATATCTTTATTTATCATGCAATTTTTTGATTAACAACTTTGCAGATTGTTTTCATTTAAGGATAGCTACATTATAAACGGCAAAAGAGATATTTTTCAAAAACCCATATGACCTGCTCTTTAAGACAAAATCACAGAAAACACTAGTTTATCAATAGGTTATTAAAATGTTAATGCAGTTTAATCTTACTGTTTTTCCCTGACACATTAATCATCATTACTTCTGCCGGTGTGCTGTGGCAAGCTTTATGCGTGCGCTTGTAGGCAATTAAAGGCTCATTATCATGATTTAAATGGTTTATTAATAAACGTGCGATTAGTCGACTAATGCTTAAAATGAACGACTACTAGTCGACCAGAAAAATCTTTAGTCGAGGGCAGCCCTAGTGTTCACGCTAAGGCCTAAAACGTATACTAACATACATCAGTTTTAGCACACTGGCATAATTTAAAGTTCGAAAAAAGTTTATCATAAATGTAATCGGTATGAATTGTGTGGTTTAATCCAGGTCTTCTGAAGAGATACGATCACTTTACAGTCATGATGAAAAGATTTCGTTTAAGCTTTTATTCAGATAGTCTTAAGTTGAAGCCCTTAGTTGTGATGGGGCCTCTGTCCACTTTGCTGTTATAATTAAAGGCAAATAACTTGTATTTTAATCACCACTGTTTTTTTTTTCTGACACAAACAAAATAAGGCTTGAATGAACATATAATTAAAATATAATTAAAACACTAGCCCAAAAACTTAAAATGTACTCACCGTCATGTCACAGTAAACTGGAAAACAAAAGGAGACATTGAATCATTGAATTATTTTTCATCAAAATACAAAGACTATGGAATGAAGTTAGATTGTTCACATGGTTGCTCTGCCATGACAGTAATTTACCTGAATGAGAAAACTCAACATAGAAGAGTGTTTTTTTTTTTTTGCTACAATGTATTTTTATATTTTTACTCTGTAACATTTCAACATGGTAAACCACTACTGCTGTTCAGTACACTGCACGCTGCAAGCAAGTGATGTGACAAATCTAAACCCATTGTAGACAAGACAGTATACTTTATCTAGTCTAGTCAAGTCAGCTTCATTGATTTTTAACAATAACATTTGTGAGAGTCCAGAAGTCTGTGCAGTGAGCTCTGAACCACAGGACTGTTGTGTGAAACTGTGTAAATCTGCAGACACTGTGACAGCTTCAGTGATTATAATGGGATGGGTGCGTTCTGATATTGTTGCACTGCGGCTTTGTGCATAATTTAAACAACATTTGAATACGTTTGTTTTCCATGCTTCAAATAGCACATCTGCTGTAGGGCTGTGCGATTTGAGACGTTGCGATTTCCTAATCGCAAAGCCTGCGATGTGGACGCGATATTACTCTGTTCCTCACGCAGCCTGTCTTGTAATGCTCGTTTATACTCGCACCCAGCTCCACACCGCAAGTCTCCACGAGCGCATCTGACAGTATGGACGAGGCTTGACGCACGCGCGCAACCTGTGTCGACTCGCGCCTGGCTCCACGTTTAAAACGAATGTAAATTCAGTCTAACTGCTTGCTAATTTCACTTGGATCAAATTTAAAATCGCAATCGCAATATCTGTCAAAAAAAATCGCAATTTCATATTTTCCCCCAAATCGCACAGCCCTAATCTGCTGTCATTTTCAACCGAGACATTTTCTTCCCTACTTGAAATTTTAAGACACTCTTTTCCCTCGCATATTTATTGACAGGGCAAAATCGGCTCTGATCATTGGCTGCTTTCATAGTAATGTCCAGCAGCACAGATAGATACTTTTATCATCCGATACTCATGGTTGTACAGATTTCATGACGGCCTCCATAAGGATTTCTCATAATTATGGCTGAAAAGACACATCGGCGGTTGGATTATGTGATTAATCAAAGCCCTACACATTATGACAATTACAGGTTCATTTCTGTATCAGATGTGCAGGTTACTATGTTAGCCTACATTGCACCCAGAACCTAAAAATATGAAACAAGAATGTCTTCTTAAATATAGGGCAGACACTTCTAAAACACAACAGTGATTCCTCATTAAATGGCTGTAACAAATGAAGCATTTTTCTGATTGAAGACATGCATTAATGAAGACGTGTCAGGAAGTGTAGGCAAACGCTGGGAGTGTGGGATCTCACTTAAAAAAGGGGCAAAAGCAGATTAGTGAGGGAGAGGGGCGGGTGGGCGCACTTGTAGCCATGATGATGAGGTATCCCTCTGTTTGTCTGTGACTCATCTCTTCTATAAGCACTTTAGCTTATACAACAACTGTATACCGCCTGCCGAATCATCCGGTTGCCTCGTTTTCTGTTCTTGTATGTGTTTCATCACAAGCTCACTTTCATGAAAAACCGTTATTCATTTAGTGGAGTTTGTATCTGTTTATTTTTTCATTTCTTTCTCTCACTGTCTACAGTTCAGACGGTTTCATCGGGAGGTTATTGCGGAGTTGGAGAGGAAGACAGACATGGATGTGAAATACATGACGGTGAGCTGCCGTATGTTCATCATTGATAGGGAAGCTACTTGAAATACTTTCAAGTATTTCTATAAAAGAATAGCTACTTTTTTTTTTATTCAGCAAGGATGCATTAAATTATTCAAAAGTGACAGTGAAGACATTGATAATGTTTACGAAAGTTTTGTTTGAAATAAATGCTATTCTTTTGAACTTTCTGAAGAATCCCAAAAAAAATGTATCTTGATTTCCACAAAAATATTGATAATATTAATGATGATAATAAGAAATAAGCAGTAAATCAGCATATTATAATTATTTCTGAAGATCATGTGACACTGAAGACTGGAGTAATGATGCTGAAAATACAGCTTTGCATCACACGAATAAATTACAGTTTAAAATATTTTACAATTAGATTATTTTCAAAATACTGTATTATATAGATTAATTGCATCCAAATTGCATCCAAATGTGAGTTTTACCATCAGTTCAAGCCCGAAAAGGGCAACAGAGTCGCGTGACAGACACAGTGATGGTGCAGTACACTTTTTGGGGGAAGTCGTGGCCTAATGGTTAGAGAGTCGGACTCGTAACCCAAAGGTCCGGCAGGGATTGTAGGTGGGGGGAGTGAATGTACAGCGCTCTCTCCCACCTTCAATACCACGACTGAGGTGCCCTTGAGCAAGGCACTGAACCCCCAACTGCTCCCCGGGCGCCGCAGCATAAAAGGCTGCCCACTGCTCCGGGTGTGTGTTCACGGTGTGTGTGTGTTCACTGCTGTGTGTGTGCACTTTGGATGGGATAAATGCAGAGCACTAATTCCGAGTATGGGTCACCATACTTGGCCACATGTCACGTCACTCACTTAATGTTTATTTATTATGTATATATAAAGAGACACATACAGTATATATTTTGAAAATATTTATGTTTATACATTTATATATTCATATTCTTATATTTTATATTATATATAAATATATTTAATATATAAACATAACATATTTTTCTTACATATATACATGCATGTTTTTGTATTTATATATACATAATAAATGCACACAGTACACACACACACACATTATGTAAACAAAAACTTTTATTTTGGATGCGGTACTGTACTATAATGTACACAAAGAATATCGGCCGATATATCGGTATCGGCCTTTTTTTACCCCCTAATATCGGTATCGGTATCGGCCTCAAAAAACCCATATCGGTCGGGCTCTAATATATATATATATATGTATATATATCAGCATCAGTCGACATATTGGTCAACGGCTAATTAAACTAAAACGAAATGCTACTGAAGGGGAAAATACCAAAATAATTTAAGAAAAATCAAACTTAGCACATCGAACATAAACAGATAGATTTATGCTAATTACAACTGTTGATCCTAAGAGCATCTTAATTCATACAAACTAAATTGAAAACGTAGTGACAAACAGCAGTATTACCTGGCAGTATTTTGGGTTTTTTTTACAACAAAGATTATGTGAAATGCCCTGCAGGGTCTTTGAGGAACACTTGTAGGTAACGAATAAGTGAATTGTTTCTTTTGTTCTGGCCTCATTTGCAAAAATGAATCAGACTTCCCAGTGCTAGAGAGACCGAGGGAGCATATTTGCATTTGATTGTTGCCTCTGCATTCTCAGTTATAAGGCTGTGTGTGCATTACAATGTGACCTACAATGCGTACAATGTCACGCTACAGTGCTGCTAGTTGGAAAACATAGGTGGTAACAGGAAAAGCTTGATTATTTTGAAAAAGACTACTGTCACGCCACTGAAACATTTAGTTAGTAGTGG